AATCAAAATATAGAAGATACTTTCCGAAAACAAATATTTTTTTGAAGGTTGCTAAAACGATTTTTCGAGATAAAAATAAATAATCTCCTCCAATGATATCTAGTAAACACACATAAATTTATTAGCTCAAAAGAGCATATAATGCTGGAGAAGTGGAGCGATTTTGTACCTGTTTTTAATATAAAAGTTGATTTTGTTGAGTAGTGTTAGCAACTGTGAAAAACAAATGAGAGATGTCTTCTTATCATACAATAAAAATATATTACAAATCCATGTATTTGATTATTACATGTAAAAAGATTAAACTTGGTTTTTGAAAACCTATTCTTACATAAGCATGAAAGAAAATTGTAGAATGACGATAAAATGAAACATATATAGCAAATATGTACAAACAAAAAATATCCATCCCAGCTGAAAACCTGTTAAGGTTCTCAGAAAGCCAAGACTATCGGATTGTTACATCAATGTTTTCGAGAAACTCTCGGAAAGCTTCTTTCATCAGTATGTTAAATTAAGTATAATTAGTTTGAACCTATTAGACTCGATACCGCGCTAACTATGAAAATCATAGGCACTCAGACTGTACGATAGTCTAAAACTTCGCAAAAACAAAGCAAGTTGCTGCTTTTCTAGTATTATTTTTAAAAAGTCACTCGCGTCAATGTACAAATATCTGACGATAATACATACAATAAAACCTCTGTTAGCGAATATCTCCTTATTCTGAATATTTTCAGATTCATTGGAGCGATTTTTGCTGAAAATACACTTCTCTAATGTGAACACATGTGTATATTACGTCTGACTTAGTTCTCCTAACGTCTTTTCTGAATAAGAAGAAAGTTATCGACTTCTTTCCTAACTTGTCTAGTGATCTCTCTTCTATATACACTCTAGAATCAAAAGTTAACTGATATTTATATTAATTCAAAAATAAAACCCATTCTTATATCTCAGAAGTTTTCAAGTAAAAAGCATTTAAACCAAAATAAATGAGTAAAAGAACAAATAGTTCTTGCTTTATTCAAGATTAGTGTGGCAGCAAACATTCGGGATTTTCCTTTATTTCTGTTTTTTTTTGTGACATAAAATTCTTCATCATTCGATCATTTAATTATATTAGAAGTGTCATTAAAGCCTAAAGGATACTACTATGACCCAACATAAGTAGATAATCATGTATATAGATATTAACTAATGAAGTGTTTTGAAAATTTTAAAGATGACAAATATACATTGTTGAAAAAATGTTAACGTTTCGATGAACTAATATGCATATCTCTTTTAAATAGCTTAGTATAACTGCATAGAAATAATATTTTGATAATGACATGAAAGCTCGTATATTTCTAAATCATTCCCTCAAATAGAAATATTTTTCAAAACTTTATATTTGACAGGATGATATGCATAGTATTATTTTATTCGTTTTATCTTCAGTCAAAACAAAAGCTGTTAACGCAATTCGTTGTGGGACTGAAAATGTGAAACACGATGTAGTTGCTATAGCCAATGTTCTAAAAACAGTTGTTTTTTTATCCATACTGATTTACATTGCTTCATAATGATTTACCTCGCATTATAAATGTTCAACAGAATAATATTCGATATACAGGATATAACAAAATGATAGCCCCATGTATGCTATATACAAAAAGAAAGAAATATCTAATCGTTTAATCTATATGTGTGTCAGATAGATGAGTTTGTGTAAGACATTAACAATCCTCCCTCCTTTATGTACACGTTGTTGTGAACGTTCTAATTGAGTTAGGTCGTGTCGAGAACAAGGTATATATATTCGATTCTTCCGATTTAACATTTCATAGTTACTTTCATCCGTAAAAACAACGTTCGACCAGTCAACTCGAGTACGTCTTTGTGCAGGAGTAATTCGAGATTTTTTAGGTGCAATATACGAAACCAAATCAAAATCACGAAGGATACGGCTGACAGTTTGTCGACTAATTGTTAAATTCGAGTCTGTGCGAGCAAAACGAACGAGATCGGTCAATGATAATGTATCGTTCCGAACTTATTGAAGCTTAATCAATCATTTTTGACGTTCTGTGACTTTTGGTGTACGACCAGTACCAGGTTTCGTAGCTACGGTATGAAATTTATCGAATTTACGAATATTTTGACGAGTAGATTTACAAGAAATGTTTAATTGATGCGATATTTTATGTGTTAATGTCTTACACAAACTCATCTATCTAACATACATATAGATTAAACGATTAGATCTACTGCAGAAATAAAATATTTCTTTTTTTTGTACATAGTATACATGGGGCTATAATTTTGTTATACACTGTAAACTTCAATCATGTATGAGTTATGCAACATCTCTGATATTTTCTTGACATCTTCTATTACACTTTATAATAACCTCTAAATTCTGTCCGTCACGATCTATGAGAGGAGATAATGGGTGTGAATTTCTACCCCTAAAACACTTCATCACACCTTTCAGATCGTGTTTCACAAAAAAGTAGAGCCGAAAGTATATCTACTTATAATGTTTTTATTTTGAATATTATTTAATTATTGAAATATAGTGATTCAATTGGTAAAGTTCAACAAAATACAGAATTTTATTGGCATTATCAACGCTATACATTTGTACGAGAGTATTTTGAACGTGTACCATTATTTTTTCCACCGTTGATTATTATTTCACATATCATATTAATTACTTTGGCTCTAAGAAATAAATGTTGTCCAAAATTGTGTCGAAATCAAGTAGCCAATGTTAACAACATACCATTCTCGAAAAGATTGACACGTATTTTCAGTAAGTTTCAACTGAGCTTCATTCTTTTAAAATTATAAATTTAATTAATCCATAGAAATGATTCCAATCAACAATTCACAAAATGACAAATGGGATTCATTTGAAAATGCTGCAACGTTTAGTTATATTCGTTCAATATTAGAGAAAGAAAAAAACAAAGATGCATTAACATCTGCTCATGAAAAACAGAAAAAAACAGTAATTACAATAGGGTATGTTTATTTTTTCTTCTTTTTGTTTTTATTACTTTTTAGAAGTCTAATTAGATAATTGTAACTTTTGTAGTTCAGATGCATCAAAAACAACTGCCAGTGAACAGCAAACACCAGAGAATCTTAAAAAGGAATTAGTTTCAGTATTTAAATCAGTACTTACGGAAACTCGGAAAGGATCCGAACAGGTATATACATCATTATTTAAAATATTCAAATTAGATTTTACTTATTATTTTTATATTATTTAGAATAATTCAACAATAGAATCTCGATTAGATAGGGTAGATATTTTGTTTTTTTCTTTTGTTAACGTCTACATTCTTAAAAATTGTTGAAAATATTATAGATGGAAGGATCATTAGAATGGATGATGAAAGCAATGGAACGTGTAAAAATGAATAATCCAGATCAGTCAAGACCTACGTTCGACTTACCTCCTGTCAGAAATGTTACTTAATCTGAAAATCACCCAACAGTGCAACCTACAAATTTTGATCAATAATTATTATCAGTGATATAAGAAAAGAATATATTTTTTACTTATTTTTTTACATAAGTATAATTATGCGTGATAATCTCTGATTTTTGTATGTGACTCAAGATTTGATGAATAAATTATTTTCTGTTGTATAATACATTAATGTGCAGCATGACTCAATAGTCAATTTATAAAAAACAAAATACAAAATTGAATACTTTCATTATGGTTTGATTCAATAAATATCTTCGAAATTCTATTCGTTGAGCAGTAATGAATATAAAGCAAGTTTTAATAGAAAGGACTCACCAGGATAACTCTCATATGTACGTGTACTAAGATCAATCATTTGCCTAGTTCATTTTTTGAAGTGAATATAGCATTCAGATTAAAACCGATGTCTCCACATTTATTTATTATAATTCATGAACGACTAAAATTGCTTTTTTAAATCATCACTTGGTTGCATTTCAAAGAAGACATAACTACTTATATTCATTCTTTGAATATGGTCTACTATTCAACTTATTGGATTGAATTATAACGATGATAAAACAAGTATCTTTTTCCGTTTCGGTACGGTGACTTTTAGATTATTGTGAATTTTGTCGTATTACATTGTCAGTACTAACATTCGTGTGTTTTCTTTATTTGATAAAATCAAATCTGCATCTATATTGTCAATAAATATATTATAAACTGGAATAATCAATAATTAAATATGAATTTATTTATAGTATCATCAACTGCTATAAGAAACTGTATGTGGTTGAGTATTATTTAACCTGAACAATAACAAAGAATTTTTTACGAGAAACTATTTGACATTTTTCAGTTTACTCTTAGAAAAATATGAAATAATTAGATATCAATTGAATAGAAATTTAAAAAAATAACTATAATATGAAGAATTTCAAATCACAGTGAATATGGTGTAAGTCTTAGTGTGTGGATGGTAGATCGGGTCTTTTATTTTTCTACGTTAAATCGAATTACAATCTTGTATTTTCATCATTAATATAGGTAGAATTTTCCATAGAAAAGTGTCACGGTGATTGTTAAACAGCTTCAATCGATCATCATGAGGCTCCCAAGTACGGCTGGCGATTGCAATAGCTTGCTGTATATGAAAGAATGCTTGTTAATAATCAGAAAGATGCTTCAATATATACGAGATATTATTATGAGTATTAGCCAAATCTGGATGATTAACACCAAGAGCTTGTTCTTCAATTCTCAGTGTTGTGCGAAGATATGAAAGTGCCGTCGGATAATCTTTTTTCTTATAATATATGTTACCCATATTGTTATAGACGATCACTAACTCTGGTTTGTTGGGAGTATCGGATTTTTCGTGGATATTTAATGATTTTTTGAAAAATGACATTGCCATTTCATACTGTCCCGTTTGTTCATAATATTGTCCGAGATTGTTGTAACTAGAAGCTAACTGTGACTGCTTAGTAAGAGGATTTATTTCTCGTATTTCAACAGCCTTTTGAAGAAATTGATATGCATTCAAGTAATTTTCCATTTTGAGATATACTTCGCCTAAGTTATTATAAGTCACAGCTAAATTTGGATGATCAGAAGGAACATTTCTTTTTCTTCAACTTATCATGCCTTTTCATAGTATGCAAGTGTTTGATTCAAATTATTTTGTATTCGATAAAATCGAGCAAAGTTATTATAAGTAGTAGCCAGATCAGAGTTATGATAAGCAGAACATTTTTTTAAAATTTTTAGTGCCTTTTCAAAGTATGATGATGCTTCGGAA